GCAATTCTCCTGCCTCAGCCTCCCGAATAGCTGGGACTATAGGCATGTGCCACCATGCCCGGATAGTTACTTGTATTTTTAGTAGAGATGGGGTTTACCATGTTGGTCAGGATGGTCTCAAACTCCTGACCTCAAGTTATCCACCTGCCTCAGTCTCCCAAAGTGCTGGGATTACAGGCATGATCCACTATGCTAGAGTGCCCAGCCTACTCTAGCATCTTTTGTTGAAAAACCTACCCTTCCTGCACTGAATTGCTTTTGTATCTTTATCAAAATTATCAGTTGAGCATATAAATGTGGGTCTACTTCTGGGTTCTATATTTTGTCCCATTGATCTATGTGTTTGTCTTTCTGCCAATACCACACAGTCTTGACGACTATAGCCAAGTCCTGGGATCTAGTAGACTGATTCCTCCCACTTTATTCTTTTTTCAAAATTGACTTAGTTATTTGAAGTTGTTTGCCTTTCCATATAAGTTTTGGAACAAGTTTGTCTACGCCTACAAATATTCTTGCTGAGACTTTGATTGGAATTACATTAAACTGATATGCCAGTTTTGGGAGAATTGATATCTTTACATTGTGGAGTCTTCCAATCCATGAACATGATATGTTTCTCCACTTACGTAGGTCTTCTTTTATTTCTGTCATCAACATTGTAAATGGCATTGTGTTTTCATTTGGTTGACACATGTTCATTGTTAGCATATAGAAATGCTATTGATTTTGTTTTTGTTTTTGTTTTTGTATGTTGATCTGGAATCCTGCAACCTTGCTGAACTCACTTATTAGTTCTAAGATTGTTTTTAAATTTCTTAGTATTTTCTCTGTAGATATCATGTCATCTCAAAATAGGGACAATTTTATTTATTCCTTTTCAGTCTATATGCTTTTCATTTATTTTTCTTGCCTTATTGCACTGGCTAGAACTTCCAATACTATGTCAAATAAGAGTAGTGAAAGAAGACATTCTTGCCTTGTTCCCCATCTTAAGGAAAAGCATTCAGTCTTTCACATGAAGTATGATGTTAGCTGTAAGGTTTTTGTAGTTGCCCTTTATCAAGTTGAGGAACTCCTCTCTATTCCTGAGAGTTTTTATCATGAACAAGTGCTGGATTTTGTCAATGCTTTCTCATGTCAACTGATATAATCACATAATTTTTTATTTTTCAGGCAATTAATATGGTGAATTACATTGATTGATTTGAAAATACTGAATCAGCCTTGGATGCCTAGAATAAATACTACTTGGTTTTGGTATATAAGTCTTTTTATATAGTGCTAGATTTGATTTGTTGAAGATTTTTGTGTTTAAGCTCATGAAGGATACTGGTCTATAGCTTTCTTGTACTATCTTTGGCTGGTTCCAGTATCAGAGTAAACCTGTCCTCATAAATTGAGTTGTGAAGTGTTCCCTCCTCTTTTATCGTCTGGAAGATATTGTAAAATTAGTGTTAATTCTTCTTGTAATATTTGGTAGAATTCTCCATTGAAACCATCCTGGCCTGGAGATATGTTTTTCAGGAAATTTTAAATTATGAATTCAAATAAAAAATACAAATAATTAAATTCTGAAATTTAATTAAAATTATTAACTGTTTGTGGTTGTATTTATTCAGATTGCCCACTTCATCTTGGTTGAGCTTTAGTAGTTTATGATTTTCATAGAATTGGTCAATTTCTTTCTAGTTTTTAAATATATTAGTCTAAAGTTGTTTGTAGTAGTCCCTTATCCTTTTAATAGCTGCAGTATTTGTAGTGATATCCCATTTCATTCCTGATGTTGGTGTTTTTTGTCTTCTCTCTTTTATCTTTGTTAGTCTTGCTCGAGGTTTATCCATTTTATCGATATTTTTCAAAGAACCAGTTTTTTGTTCATTAATTTTTCTATGGTTTTTGTTTTCAGGTTCATAGAGTTCTGCACTTGTTTTTTAATTATTTCCTTCCCTGTGCTTGATAAGGTTCTTTGTTCTTCTTTTTCTAGTTTCTTGAGATAGGAACATAGATTATTCATTTAAGACCTTTCCTCTTTTCTAAAGTAGCATTTAGTGCTATCAATTTCTCTCTCCACATTGCTTTAGTTGCAGCCACACATTTTGATATATTGTTATCTAGATATTACATTATATTCACCATTATAGTAGTGTATTTGTTCTCTTTTATTCCTTCTGCTCCTTGTTTCATTTTTCTTACCTTTTTGTGGATAACTTGAACATTTTTCAAAATTCCATTTTAGCTTATTATAATTTTTAAATAGTTTTTCTTAGTTTTTGTGTAAATACACATATATAATTTATCACAATCTATGAGTATGAATGCCTTATCATTTTGAGTGATATGTAGAAATCTTACTTCCATTTTGGTCCCTTTAGCCTCCTTACTTTTTAAATATAATTGTCTTAAGTATATCCCCTAAGTACATTGAGTACCACATCATATGGTAGTGTAATTTTTGCTTCAACCATCAAGTATGACTTAAGAGACTCCTGAGAAGGATAGTCTATTATTTTTATCCATTTCATTGTCCTTCTTTCCTTTCTGAAGTTCCAAACTTTCTTCTGTTATCATCTCCCTTTCCTTTCTGTTTGGAGAACATCCTTCAGCCATTCTTTAAGGGTAAATATGTTAGTGACAAAATCTCTTAGTTTTCCTTCATCAGAGAATGCCATTATTTCCACTTTTCTCCTGAAGGATACTTTCACCAAATAGATGACTTGTGATTGATAGTTATTTCCTTTCAGTACTTGAAAAATGTACCACTTCCTTCTGGCTTCCATGGTTCCTGATTTTAAAAAAAACGAAAAACCTGCTGTCCTTTGAACTGGTGTTCCCTACAGATAATACATTATTTCTCTCCAGTTGCTTTCACGATGTTTTTCTTTCTTTTTTAGTTTTCAGAAGTTTAACTATGATGTATCTTGGCATGGATTTCCTTGGGTTCATCTCAGTTGAGATTAACTCAGCTTCTTGAATATGTAGGTTTATGTCTTTTGCAAAATTCAGAAATTTTCAGCTGTTATTTCTTCAAGCCAAGGTGACTTTTAAGCACATTGTATATTTGAGAAACATTGCTCTGGAGTGGGGTTGAGAGATCCAAGGACTTCTTAAATTGTATACAGAATGCTGTAAGTGTCCACAGTTTTCATTAGATTCTCAAAAGACTCCATGACCCTCACCACAAATTTTATAAAAGCATTGGTTTATGGCCTTATTGAGTTGTTTTTGGTTTTCTTGGTTAAAATCAGTAAAAACAAACAAACAAACACAAAAGCTAGGTAGTATTCTTGTCTTTCTTTGTACCACATCTGTTGAATTCCTGTTTCCCAAAGATTTTCCTGACAATTTTGGAAAATACGATGACTCAGGTAAATATTTTCCAAGTGCCTAATATGTGCCAGACAAATATTTTTATTGTTTTCCATAGTCAATGAGAAGGAGAAGAATTTAAAACAATTAATGTAATTTGGGTTTATGAAAAGTTCTTGGTAAATAAGTGCCAGAGGAAAATTGGCTGCTTTTCAGTGTGACTTTCCCCTTTAAAATCTGTTCCTTACTGCTCTGAGCTGGATACACCAGTGATCAAATTACATCCCTGAAAGTATAATTTCATACACTGAAAACATGTCATTACACAGTGGGCCGCTTGTCATCACTCTGGCTTGCTTTGCACTGTTGGTAGTCGGGCACTCATGGTTCCCCCAAGCAGGCCTGTCCCTGGCTCAACTGCTCTAACCGATTCCTCCAGCCAGCACACCCTCACCTCCTTTGTCACCCCTTCTTCCTGGACTAACTCTTGCTCATCTTCCAGAACTCAGCTTGGGAAGCACCAACTCTGGAAAGCCTTCACTCTCTCTTCTCCAAGCATTAAGTTGGGTGTGCCTCCGAGGTCACTCATGCCTGCCAGAACATCACGCTATATGTTAATTGCCTAATTATCTCTCCTGTCAGATGGTCAGACACTTGGAAACTGTGACTGGGTCTTGATTTGCTTTTGTGCCCCCGGTACTTTCGTAAGTATAATATGACGTGTATTTACGCACTATCTCCAGTTAGAGTTCATGCCACCAGTTGACTGGCTGAGCCTTTCGTCCATATTTTCGTTAATGTCATTAAGCATCTGTTGAGGGCTGGGCATGGAGATTCATGCCTGTAATCCCAGCACTTTGGGAGGCCGAGGTGGGTGGATGACTTGAGGTCAGGAGTTCAAGACCAGCCCAGCCAACAAGGTGAAACCCTGTCTCTACTAAAAATACAAAACTTAGCTGGGCATGGTGATGGGCACCTGTAATCCCAGCTACTCAGGAGGCTGAGGCTGGAGAATCGCTTGAACCTGGGAGGTAGAGGTTGCGGTGAGCTGAGATAGCACCACTGCAGTACAGCCTGGACAAAAGAGCAAGACTCCATCACAAAAATAAAAATAAAATATTAAAAAGTACCTGTTGAGCTCCTTTATATGTAAGTGTGGTGACCAGATATTCAGTTCTTCCCAAACAGGTTTAATCTTTCCTCACAAGCGTCTGTTTATTAGTTTACTTTAGACTTCTTCTGAGAATCAGTATAAAGGTTATTGGTCTTCTCTTGCTAGAATTCCTATCTTTCCGTTTTGGGGAACTATGGATAACACCGACCTCTTCCATGTTCCTTCTTTGTCTTATTACTGGATCTTATGAACCCCTTATTATTGCATTTACATGTATAGCTCTGTCTTTCCTATTAGGCTGTAATAAGCTCCTTGGGGCAGGGAGTGTATCTTATTCAACCCAGAGTCTCCAGGGACCAGTGGAAGGTAGCATTCCATGAGTGCTGATGGAAAGAAATTTGATGTTAGATCATCACAGCTGTATGGTTGCTTATGATCAGAACATACTTTACTTCCTGACCTCCATACCTTTACTTCCTGATTATCTTTTATCCCTCATTCTAAGCCACTGTGAATTCTTTTTTGGAAAGGAGAAATGGGTAAATGCAACACATGTTAATGCATTTTTTATTCCTCCCAGGTACTATCTTGGTCGTCGGATGTTTATTGTTATTTCTGAGCCAGACATGATCAAGCAGGTGTTGGTTGAGAACTTCAGTAACTTTACCAACAGAATGGTACGTAGTTTTCTTTCTGCGTATAGATGGATGGGGAATCGTTCTCAGATGGAGGCATTGCATGTCAGATCCAACGGGGATGCAATCAGGCCTCTGATCAGGTTTATGTCAGTTCCACTCAAAACTAAGCTCCTCAGTGAGCTCGGTTTTTCAAAAGAGATCTGTGGGACTGGTACAAAAGAGTAGCATTTACATGTAAGAAATGCTTCAAGAAAGCTAAAGCTCAAGGGAAGCTGAGGCTGTTAAAAATGCTAAAACCAAGAGGGTTTTCTAAAGCTGGGTTCAAAGCTGGGGGAATCCAGAGGGCACAGGCCAAGTGACTGACGGAGAATGAGCTAGGCTAATAAATATCAGTTGGAAAGCAAAATTTTGAGGTTCTTGCACTTACATCTTTCCCAGAAAGAATAAGAGTACTAAGGCTGGAAAGGGAAGACAAGCAAATTAGGAAAGAAATTTGTCCCCAAGTAAGAGAAGGAAGCTTTAAGAGGGCTCCTTTATATTAGTTCAAGTTTCCAGCCTACATGCATGTACATATCCCTTTGTTTTTGGAAAGTAAATGTCCTACTATTTATCTTTGATGAGAAATCCCAAAGGATGGAAGAAGTGATGGAAAATGCCAGCGATCAGGCCAGGCACGGTGGCTCATACCTGTAGTCCCCACACTTTGGGAAGCCAAGGTGAGTGGATTGCTTGGATTCAGGAGTTTGAGACCAGCCTGGCCCACTTGATGAAACCCTGTCTCTAGAAAATTACAAAAATTAGCCGGGTGTGGTGGCACACATCTGTAGTCCCAGCTACTTGGGAGGCTGAGACGTGAGAATTGCTTGAATGCTTGAATCTGAGAGGCTGGGAGTGGGAGGCTCTGGTGAGCTGAGATCGCACCACTGCACTCCAGCCTGGGTGACAGAGACCCTGTCTCAAAAAACTTAAATAAATAAATAAATGAAATAAAGAATGAAAAAATGATGGGTATCAGTGCTATCCATTTTCCAAAAATAAGGAGATAGGCATTCTAGCAGAGAAGACCTGTAAACTTTATGTTGATTCTTGGAAAAAGTCTAAAGTGAATTAATAAACATGTTTGTGAGAATTCAGAGAATCACCATGCCAGCCATTTTTGGGGGTCCCATTAGACCTCACTTTTCATTTTTTTAGGGAAGTAAGTAATGTATTCATTCTTTTGTTGATTATTGGGCAAAGTTTTGCATACCTGCCATATGCCAGGCACTGCGTAGGTGCCGACTGTAAAGAGACAGTGTCCCTCGAGGAATTCTCGCTTTAGTGAGGGAGGCAGACAAGGAAGGGGACCAGCACAATGCAGTGTGGTGAGTGCTCCTGAGGTGGGGAGCCCAGGCCACCAGGATGCGGACAGAGGAAAGCTTATTGGGTGGGAGGCGTTTGGGGCTGAGTCTTAAAGAAATTAGAGAGAGTCCCCTTTCCTGTGTTCCGAACTAGGTGAGCCATCCAGAGTGTGTCCTTGTCATCACAAGAACTTATGAGATGGGTACAGTTATAATCTCTATTTTATAGACAAAGAAACTAAGGTTCAGAGAGGCTAAATGATCAACCCTGGTAACATGGCTTACCACGAGGAAGAGCAGGGATTCATGTGTCATCTCTCAACTTAAGTCTAGAGCTCTTTTTACTGCCACAGCTGTCACAGCTGCCTTAGTGACATTTCTGGATGTCAAGGTTGAATGGAGTAATTGGCCACTCACCCAAAATATGCTCATCTTCTTCCAGCCCCAGAGCATCATGCCCAACTCCAGACATCATGTGACCTCTAGAGGGATGTGGCCTGCAGGGGGGTGGCTGGTCTGCTACCTCCATCCTTCAGGATGGCTGAAGGAATTGCAGAAGTTTAACTGCTTCTCTGCTGCCTCTAGATTCTCTTTCCCAAACACTGCGTTGCTATCTCCTTGCTCAAAGTCCCCTGAAAGCCGTCTGTAAAGAAACCAATTCTGATGATTCAATGCAGCTGTAGCTGTAGCTTGTTGCTCCATCAGCCTCAGCAAGGAGTGCTGAGTAAAGAAGTTGGAGAAGACAGTAAGTCAAAGTGCATGGACCACCAAGCTACATTCTAGCAAGCAGCAAAGGCACTCACAGGAGCCTGCCATAGCGCTTGAGACTGTCCGAGCCCCTAAGCCATGAGATGGCACTTGCCAACCGGTGTCTCCATATTTCCTCCCATGACACCAGGACATGTGACCCTGAGAGCTGACCTAGAAGAGGTCAATGATTTCGCATGCTAGGGGCAGACATACTCAATGCACATGTTCAAGCAGGGGGGACCCAATAACATTGACCTCAACTTTGGTCAATTTCTCCTCCAAGCCATTCGTCTGCTGTTCCTAATTTCTTTCACCATCCCCTCACCCACCCCTCCACCCAGACTAGGTCCAGGGCCCCAAACTCCAGAGTATAGTTCCAGTTTTCTTCCTCTTCCACTCAGCACAGGATTAAGCCTTCAGGACTAAGTCCAAGTTCCCCAGACAATTAAGGGCCCTTGTGACTTAGATCCATTGTGTGAGGTGCTTGGGGCTAAGTCTTAAAGAAATTAGAGAGAGTCCCCTTCCCTGTGTTCTGAACTAGGTGAGCCATCCAGAGTGTGTCCTTGTCATCACAAGAACTTATGAGATGGATACAATTATCATCTCTATTTTATAGACAAAGAAACTAAGGTTCAGAAAGGCTAAATGATCAACCCTGATAACATGGCTTAACACTGTCTCTCACTGCTCCCCAATACAAATCGTCACTCCAGCCTCTCCCTGCTCACCCTCACCTGCTCTGGAGGGGCCTGAACCTTTGCCTTGCTCATGCTTACGCTGCCCCAGAATTGAAGGCAGTGTAACAGTGGGGCTCATATTGATTATGACGTGAACTTGAGCACATTCCTTTTTTTTGGGGGGGACAGGGTCTTGCTCTGTCACCCAGGCTGGAGTGCAGTGGTGTGATCAGAGCTCACTGCAGCCTCAAACTCCTGGGCCCAAGTGATCCTCCCATCTCAGCCTCCTAGGTAGCTGGGACTGCATATGTGTTTCACCAGGATGGGGTCTTACTATGTCGCCAAGGCTAGTCTCAAGCTCCTGGCCTCAGGTGATCCTCTCACCTTGGCCTACCAAAGTGTTGGGATTATAGTCCTGAGCCACTGTACCTGGCCACATTTCTTAACTTAAAAAAGAGCCAGGGCAGCTCTTTTTAAAAATATCTGTGGAAAGTGGAGCTGAATCAACATGACTCAGCAGAAATGGTCACAACCAGTGGCAGAACTTCTTATTCTTGGCCTCCTCTCAAGGCCTGGAGTTGGGGGATATGGTCCACCTTACTGGGCTGTCGTAAAGCCAGATGGGATCATGCATATAACCTCTCCCTCTACACAGTACTTGGCAGGTGACACATTAGTGCTTCTCACAAGAAAACCCTCCACCTCTTCCACACCCATCCAAACTCTTGCTGTTTTTCACGACACTCCTCAGATTCTGCCTCCTCCAGGAAGCCTTTCCTGCCTCCATCCACACGCACTTTTCCCCTTCCCTGAACTCTGGCAGCACTCACCGTGTGCATCACTCATTGTCACAGTTGATCCCTTTGTGCCTTCTACTATTTATAGTAAAGGAGGATATGGCTTTCAGTCTAGCTTGATTATTAGCTCTTTAAGGCCAAGAACTGTATCTTGTACTTCTTTTTTATACCCCATGACATAAACACATATTGACTCTTCAGCATCCAATATATTCTTGTCCCAACTGAATGGAATTTCCATCAACTTGACATTCCTCCCAGAAGAATGAGGCATTACTTGAACCTGGAGTTGCAATACAGTCTTCTTCGTCTTGGTCATTCACAAACACGTAAAAAGACCCATCGCAGATGAGCTCTCCAGGAAACCCCAGTGTTTACAGTTTTCCATCTGGGAATGTATCCACTTATGTGTAGCTTTGCTTATGGTCTTTAAGCCAATTCCATATCGATGGTAAAACAACCCTTAGTGACTCAATTTTTTAAAAAACAGTCTTTAAAGTGGGATTTTCTCATAGGTTTTTGAAAGTCAAATTAAATTGGGTTCTGTGGTTCCCTCTTATCCATATGCTTATTTATCTGCTCAAAGAACTCTAGATTAGTGAGACGTGATTTCTCCTTACTGACACCACGTTGCCTTCCCTCTAATAGGCCATATTTACTTAAGCGTTCAGCGATTCAGCTTTATTATACATTCACTCGGTAAACATTAAATGCTTACTCCATGCAAGCTGCTACCAAACGGTCCCTTGTGATACAGAAAATACCTCGGCATATTAGTTTGATAAATTAAGTGAAAAGGAACTTAAATAATGCATGCTCTCATTCTCCAACAGGGAGAGCCCATCTCTACTCACAGATTCAGGCTTGAGTTACGTGAGTTTTGTCCCTGGACAGCCTGGGGGAGAAGGGCTGTGATTTGGGAAACTGGATTTAGCTCTGAAATTTGACATGAGCTGTAAGCATCCCATGAGGGATCCATAGAGCGTATTCGCTGGAGGTGGGGGTGATGCAACAGGGAGCTCCCTGACATACATCAACACTGAACAAATGTGTGAATTCAAATATCATCCTGTGAAATATTCTTTTCCAAACTCCAGAACACTGGCTGGAGCAGACTATGGGTTGGATCCAGAGCAGCAATTCTTAACGTCATGCTTTCTCATTCACCATTTTTGGGGCACTGGAGTCTGTGCAATGTTGCTTCATCTTGCTCATTTTCCATGTGGGCCTTGTAGGTCTCTATCAATGTCCTCAGTGCTTCCTGAAACTGCTCCGTGATGGTGCAGCCACAGCTTATCAAACCCAAATCAGTCTTCTTGGCATTTATAGAAGCTCAGTCATCCTGGTACATCAGGACTTGGATGTTTTTATTTAGACATTTTCAGTGAGCTCTTCTTTGCTGTCAGGTACAGTACCTAATGAAGCCATAGCGCAGCTCTTTTTTAAATATCTGTGGAAAGTGGAGCTGAGTCACA